TCGGATAGAAGCCCTTCTTTCTGTCCTTCCAATGTGTTTGCTGCAGCAGGTGCATGTAAATTAGCTGCAAGGAAGCATCTTTTTATTGCTCCTTTCATCCTCTTGTCAATCTTTTGTGATACTGCTTCTCCTTTGAGTGAGAGGCATTTAGTGGTTTGAGCCAGTTGCGTAGAGAGGTTGTAGACTACCTGATCTGGGTGTCCTCAGGATGCTAGTAACTGCTAGTTGTGAAGATTATTGGTGATATTGGCTCGAGACAGTTCTTACTGGCGCGGATGCATTCACTGTTTACTGTCTCCCACATTCACTGGACACTCATGTTTTCTCCAGCACTTTTCTATTGATTATAGTTCTTTTGAGTTTCTGTCTCTCATCTACCTCTGTGTACCATGTGTGTAGTACAGCAACTTGAACTGCTGAACTCCAGTTCAAATTGACAGACAGCGGCTTGGTATTTGTCTATGTATGTTATTAGAAGGCAGAGGAAAAATCACTGGGTAATTTCCCTGTTCAAAATAATCAATAAATTAAATTAGGATACACATTATATCAGATGATATAATATTATTTCAGATGTGTACATTTATCATTCTTTCTTCATTCTTGTTTTATTTCTAATATGTAAATAGACTACGAGAGTTTTTTTTATTTAGATGTGTGTGTTCTCTGAGATGGTTGATTGGACAGTAGTTAGTAACTAGTGTAATATATGTTACTCCCATCTTTGGTGCAGACTGAATTCTGTTTTCAGTCAAGTGTGCAATGTGGCCACCATTTTAGGTGGCTTTCCATCACACAGAGAGAGAGAGAGAGATGTAAGTTCCTCGAAGGTTGCAGATACGCCTTGCTGACTGAGTGGTGAGTACCAGCTAGCGCGAAACCTAAGTGAAGTAAGGCTTCCGTGTGGCGGCTGATTGCCTTCAACCATCTGGTGTCAACATCTGTGATGTGATTGATTTAATTCTAAAGCTTTTGTTATCCCATTTCAGGACAACATCGCTTCTGCTGCTGCTGAGGTTTTAATATAAAATGAACTGTTTTGAATTCTCCCTCCATGATTAATGATATAATTGTATCTACTGACAACAACCTCTGTCATGATTGGTTGTTAGTTTCCACCTGTATTGGTCATTTATTATTATTGACTTATAATTGGAACTTTCTTGTCATGGGGTCGTAACTTTCATTAGCTTGTAAATTTGCTTTATAGTAGTGTGTTTGTTAATCGATGACTGATTCATCTGGGTACCATCACTAGACTTCTAGAAATTCCCTGATGGCAGTAATTTTGATGTTTCCTCTATTTAAAACTTCTATATTATTCCAATCACATTAGTGTCCATAATTATCCACATGCATCAATATTAAACAGGAATACACATCGTGCCTTTTCCACTGTTGATTTATGTTCTTTCATTCGGAGTGCTTAAAAGTTCATCGGTGGTTCAGCGGTAGAGTGCTCATCAACCACGCCTTATGTAGTCCAGGATTTGATTCTCGGCCACACGCACTCCATCACCTCGTTAGGCTGGTAATAAGATTAGTAAAGAGGGAAGGTTGGGCATGAGGCTGGCTGGCAACCCCGTCCTGTAAAAATAAGCATCACTCCTACCGAAACTCTATGTCTCTTGGTTGAAGCCCTATGTTCCACTGGGAACGTAAAGGAGAAAAGAACAAAAAAACATTCAGACAGCGTAGAGAGCACAACTAAATCAAAACCTTCCATCTGAATTGGAAATCTTCTCCATTAGACTAGGAGAGTTTTCGCATGTCCACTTTTTATCTCTACCTGTCATATACTTACTATAGGAAAGGAAAGTTGGATGGAATGATGAAGTCAAACAGGTAGTCATCATTTATTGATTTCATACTTTTTTTTCTTTCTTCACGTTCCCATTGGAACATAGGGAGTTTCAAGCTGAAGGCTTAAGGTTTCTGTAGCAGCGGTGATGATTTTTACGGGATGGGGTTGCCAGCCAGCCTCATACCCAACCTTCCCTCTTTACCATTCTCACTACTGGCTTAGCGAGATAGAGCAAGGAGTGAGTCTGTGACCGAGGATTGAATCCCGGACCACATGAGGCATAGTCGGCGGACACTCTACCTCTGTGCCACTGACGCAGATTTCATATTACTCGTTGGATATTTTGTAGCACAGATTTTACTTTCTATTCTTTTTCGACATCTTTGTTTGCCTGTGTTTGTTTGTACTCGTGTTTGTTGGTATTTAATGCAACCTGTAGACGACTGACTGCCTTCAGTATAGAAATGATACTTTCTCGTAGAATCTATCTCCTTTGTTAATCTGTTTGTTTATTTGTTTGTTACATGCGTATTCTGTTTACTCTTGGCATATTTCACATTATTCTCGACAGTGAATCACTCTAAATCGCTTTAGCTTTTTTCTGGTTACTCAAGCTGTAATTCATTCACATACACTTTTTTTCTATCTTGGTTCTGTTAGTTCTGAATTACTAAGTTGTTTGATCATCTGAAGCGTTCTTGTGCAGCATACAGTAGTAATCTTGGTAGTCGTAGTAAAGTGCCTAGCAGTTGAATAATAACAAATCTCCATGATTGACTTGAATTTGTAGGACGAATGATGAATACAGTTCGCGTCAATCATTAGTGTATATTTCTACTCTAGTTTGTGAAGTATATATACCGCTTACTCAAACTCTTAGATTATTTCTTCCTTCTGTAGTATTTTTCTGTTTTCCGTGTGTGTGTGTGTGTGTGTGTATGTCTATGTGGTCATTTCAATAGCGCATACTGTTCTTTTTACACCTGATTATCACTGAAAAGATTTTGATTGGGAATTCATTTAACATCGGGTTGCAATTATGTAATAACTAAAGCCATTCTATAAGAATAAAACTCGGACACACTGTTGCTGAATAATATAATTCCATTAGGGAGAAAAGTTTATAAAGTTTGATAAAGTCTCATGGTGTTGTAATACAATAATATTTACTGATGACTACATTTTGAGCACAATTTATTTACTCATCGTCATCATATCAAGTTATCGGCACAACTTTCTGACTTCGTTTGACTTAAACAATGCTGAAATTTATAGTGATAATATAAATCAGAAAGAATATAAGGCATATATAGTTTTACCATATAAGCAGGGGGAATCTGACACCCTATGTAGGATTCTTAATAAAGCAGGAATTAAGGGAATGGGTGACATTTAAACCTACAAACTCACTCAGGTAGGACTAGTTCTGTAGGTTAAAGGACCCCGTCAGTTGGCCCAATTAAACAAACTAATATAATTTACAAAATACCTTGCTATATATAACTGTGAGTGAAGTCAACTGCTTAGGTCAAACTAGTAGATCTCAGGAAGGCTTCGTGTGCTTTTGGAAGTGTGTAGGCGGTTGTTACTTCCTGGCTGCCCACATCGTGGAAGTTAATTGAATCTTCGGGTACCTGAAACAGAAAGAGGGTTAATGTTGTGTGACTGCAGAGCCCAGGGGACAACTGCTTGATACTGGCCGGTCACACATGGCCTGTATGAACTGGTTTCTTGGTTTGGTTCCGTATTAGTAAACTTACCGCCGGTTACGTACCACCGTAGGTAGGGTAAGTCAGGATGTACAATTCTTGGGGTCGACCTTTTCTAACCCCCCTCTCTCCGTAGTGGAGAGACAGCATAACTGGCATGCTAGTCATCTGAGGAAAACACCTTACTGCTATTACATCCTTGTTTCCCAGAAGTACGACTTCGCCCACAAACCCCCAGCATAGTGTGAAAAAATAATTACACTATGCCGGTAACTGCTCTTAGTCTAATCGCTATCCTAAGAACTTTCCTAGCATGGTAGGACCTGCAGAAACAATAGTTCCAGCCAGTGTAGCTTGTTGGGTCATTGCGAAATGCAAGATTAGAAGTAGTGAGATTATTAGAACATAAGAATTTAGCTAATGTTAGAAAGATTACCCCCACCCGCGAAAATAAGGAATTTAGAACAAAAACTCAATAATTCCACTGCATGCTTTAATGCACAACCACACAATAGGGTGGAACAGAGTTACAATTCTAAAAAGTAATACAAATTGATAGGGAGAGAGAGAGAGACTGATTACTGAGTCTCTGTTCTTCAAATCTACATTCAACACATGCAATAGGAATAACTCTTCACTCATACAAGAGATTCGGAAAATACGACTACCAGTCACATCAAGAGGTGAGAAGTAATGTAGAATTATATAAACGAAGCCGGGAAATTGCGTACGTGTCTTGATGTAATTGATATGGCGATTATGAGCAGTAGATATAAATTGTGCTCGAAACATTGTTGTCATCAGTAACACTGAGAGACTTTATCAAAATAAATTTTTCCCATAGCAGAATTGAAGCATTCCTTGGTTGCTGTTTTTTTTGTTTCTTTAAATATTCGATTCATGAAGGAAATGAAGAAATATAGCGGAGTTGTAACAACAGAAGACAAGGGCCAGGCAACAGATCGTTTATTTACGAAATTATCACATATTTATAGATTTTCATGTGCATTATTTTAGATTATTGTTAGCAGACAAACACTACAGTCTTCTGATTGGTGGTTTCTCCCTGAACGTTAATCTTTCTTCTCCTTGTGGCCGTTTATTGAAGTTCAGATTGTCTATCTGAAAATTGTATCCGCCTACGCAAAGTCTTCTGTGATTGGTAGTTGAATCAGTCTTTGTTCTTATTCTTTTCTCACTACCACCAATATTGAGGACGTAAACATTGACGTAAATTACTGTCCACCAGTTTTGACTAACAGCCAGCTCTCACCACAGAGTGATCGCAGTTACACTATCTAGACATCAACTGAGGAGACCTTCTTCTATCAAACCATATATGTATATGTAGGTGTGTATATGGGTCTGTGTTTGCCTTATGATATATAGTATCTCTTTTCTATGAAATAATAATAATTATACTAATAATGAGAATCACTCTAACTTCTTATTACTTTTATGCATATTTCTCACTTTTCATCTCATAGTCATGCAAGTCATAATCGAAATATGCCTTCTAGTATACGAAAATTCAATAATAACAACCACAATAACAATACTAATACTAATACCACTACTACTAATAGTAATAATAGTAATACTAATAATAATGATAACAATACGCATAGCAATAAGAAGCATAACTTTCAATCAGATAAAACCAGTTTATTGAAGAACAATGAAAAAGTAGAAATCACAGAGGAATCTGACTCATCTGACAGACAACATTCATTATTATTATTATCATCATCATCCGGGAGAACATCACACAGCCATCGTCATCGCCAGCATCATAATCACTCGGCTGACAGTGATGACAGTAATACTGATGATGATGAAGACGATGATGATAATACAATGAGGGGTACAATTTCACCTAATCGTGATCCATGGATAACTATGGAACCGGAAAAACAACGTAAACTCTCTTCTACTACTACTACAACAACAACATCAAAGTCAAAAAAATCATCATCAAATGAAGTTGATACTGTTGCTGCCACTAGTGGTGGTGGGGGTGATAAGGTTAAATGGAAATTCTATGGCCTCGATTCGCCTATGAGTTTACCAATGAATGATTCATCTGGAATTATTATTAGTGGTGGTGGTAGTCAAAGTAAGTTGTTGTTTTCTCTCAGGCTATTTGATGAATAACTCTTCAGTCTATAATTGATTTTATACTTTCTCTCTTTCTTTCTTTCACATAATTATATTATTATTATTACTATTGTTCCTTTGGGTTCTTAGTGGAAAATAGGGCTTCAACTGCACGTCTCCCTCCACTTGCTTCTGTCTTCCTTCTGCTGTACTTTTCATCTGCATCCATGTTAGTGCATACTGTTTCAACTCCTCTTCACATGATCTCTTCCATTTCACCCGCCCTTGCACTGACGTCCCACTCGCCGCTTGCTTCCCTTTCGGCCTGGTTCCACCCGAGCAATGGCCTGACGCGCACGCGATGTCACCCACTGGCCTCCTCAGCGAGCGAGTGTTCAATCCATCTGAATCCACTTTCTCCTGCATATTTGTTGGTTGGTGATTGGTTCTTGTTTTGTTTGTTTGTTCCTATAGTTTCTTGTTGGTGATTGTTTCCGGCCCGGCCATCTGATCTTCAGTATAGCGAAAAGCGAAGACAGTTAGTTGTTGATAAAGGTGTGCAATAGCCAGTCTGTTGGAAATATTCTTTGTGACCAGCCCGCCCGCCAAGTTTCTGATCCGATCCGTATAGAAGAACTGATTGACTTGACGTTTGTATTGAAAACCCGGCTGAATTCTGTTGTTGATGCTGGCTGAGTGACGAAGACTTCGAGATTAGTTTCAGTCTGATGAATGTGTTTTTAGCCTTCCCGATTCTCTCTCGATTTGATATCTTCGTCCGTTTCGACTGCCTGTAGTTGAAACAATACTCCCGTTGATGGTGATTGGTGCTGGATGTTGCTGTTGTTGGTTATTTTCATAACCTCCGTTTTGTCTATGTTCACTTGAAGTCCTGTCTTCGCCGGCTGCTTCTTCGACCAGTTTGTCGGTTTTCGCTCGCTTGTAAGTCTTCGATTTTGTGTGACATCAAACATAAATCACCCACGCGCGAAATCCAGGTCTTTTAGGTTCTTCACGTCGGTCCAGGATATCCCTGTCTTCTCATTTCCCACTGTCTGACGCATAATCCGATCTACCACAGTTAGGAATATCATTGGTGATAATAAGCACCCTTGTCTGACTCCTGTGTGTACTCCAAACACCTCATTGAGTTTTCACATAATTGGTCTTCTTTTATTACCTAGAAGAAACTTATTATTATCATTGTAATTACATGACTTTTAAGTATAATGAGTCTAGTAAATTGATGGGTGTTGACTGATGAGCAATCGAATCTAGAATGCGCTACATTTCGCCCGATTCGGGACTCATCAGCTGAATATACTTGGATTCCCCAGTGATAAGTGATGATGTTCCCAGTGTAGCCATACTTTCAAACTCCAAAGCGCTGAAATGTCAAGCTGAGGCCGACGACTTTAGTCCAATCAATCAACCGGGAAAGTCAAGCTGAATTAAATAATCAGTCTATGCTAATCGAAAAGATAAATAATTAGACACGAATCATTATTTCACTAGAAGCCAGATTACAGGCAATTTTAATACTCAGTAGTCGTTTTTGGCCATTGACGACAGATCTGTTTATACTGCAGTGATACTGTCTTATGAGTTTGTCTAACGTGTTACTATAATGCGCCTCAAGAACACGACACTGTAACCAACTGATTATCTGAAAATATATATCTCCCATACTGAGATAAACATAAAAGTCAATTTGGGAAAGGCGACAACTGAAGAAAAGACAACAACAGCCATTACACGTTTATTTTCTGGATGGGAAATACATAGTGTATTGCATTTACAAATCCTCAGAAATTTAAGCCATTAATAAGACAAATCTGATTGGTTGTCTGACCTGACATAAACCAATCAAAACTTTCGGAACAAGGTTATTCAAAAATTATTTACAATGCTTTGATTGGTGCTATCTATCCCTAGTCTATTAGAAGAAGCTAATTAATTAATTATAACCGCTAGAAAGACTAATCTACAAATTGGTTATTTACATTCATTCCATCCATCTAGTCAGTATTAGCTGTAGCACTTCAAATGTTATACTAGCCCATAGCCCATAGTGCACACATGACGTAGATGTCTGTGTTGCATTATTTCTCCTTCCTCCTTCTTCTCCTCTTTTTTTTTTATTATGTAAGCAGTTTATATGTGTGTCTTTAATATTTTATGATATTTTTCACTAGTTAATATTTTCTGTGTTGTGTGCTAGTTGATACACTCTAAGTGCTTACAACACATTAGATTGTTGTTAGTTCTGTGTTGTTGTTTAAACTATCATATTTCGTAGATATTCAAATCTTAATTCAGACTGAATGGTTTAAATTTTTTTTTACAAACAAAAAGCTAGAGCTTGGCTAAATGGTGGTATTCAAATGTTATTTCGTGGGTCCAAAGGTCTGGATGCTCCTGGATTCGAACCCCCCCCCTATCCTATATCGGACCTCAGGACATTCAGGCTACGGGACCAAACTCATTAACCATTCACTCACTTCGACTGGAATTCAATGACCCCTTAATCCACACTACTGAAATCAATCCAAATTTCTACAAAAATGCATAAACGAAGTATAAAATTCTCCAACTCGTCGTCATTGATAGTTACTCAATGGTGTTATGACCTGAACTATGACCTAAGGGATTATGAGTGAATACTAGCTTAATGGCGCCTTCTAATCTGTCCTAATCTCACATCAACAACAACAACAACAAGAATAACACCGCCAGCAAGAAAAGACAAAAGAAAAGACTGGACGTCGATAAGGGAACTGTTACTGTCCCAAACAACAGTCAAAATACTGGACAGAAACTCTGTATGTATACATATACAGTTATTATGACCTTGAAGATGCAGTCATTTCAGCGATTCATTAAAAGTATTAACAGCCAATGTTGCAACATCACGAATCGACAAAGACAGAATTCACGGATGATTGAATTCCCACCCAAGTGGCCGGATTGGTCAACGAGCATGGTCTCGTAACTTGAATGTTCCAGGTCCAAAACGTAGAGGTGTCGAGGGTGCGCACTGTTGAACAGTCGCAGAGTGGGAAGAAATGGAGTTCCGGTGCTCCCTGATTTAAAGAATAATAGCTTTTTTTTCTGAACAGCGTATTTATCATGTACAGAATCTTCAGTATAGTTTATTACATGACATTTTCTCTGCATTTAAGATCCTCAAATAAAAAAATATTTATTGACAGTAGATCGTGTGACACAGTTCTATCTGATCTGAAATGCAAACCAATCCATCATGATGATATCTCTTCTTCTTCTTCTCCTTCGAGAAGTACACGAGGAAATTTCGTTGAATGCCAATTTTTGAAAAGGTCAGGAATGTATTTTGTGAACCAATGAGACTGCACTGAGAAACGGTCATCTTATGTATACACTGTGACATAAGCTGCTATCCAGGATAATGCCTTTTTTTCCATTTTTAAAAAAATAGAAACTCGCGAGTCAGCAGGTTTTGAATGTTTTTTTAATACTCGCCAGAGTGAATAATACCATTAGGGGTCATGCCGTCGGTGGCACAGTGGTTAGGACTCTCGCCGACCATGCACATGGTCCGGGGTTCGAGCCCACGCCGGCGCACACCTGATATCTATGGTCGGCCTGCAAAATTTGGGCTACCGATATCCATGCTGAAAATTGCATACTTGTACCAAAAATACAGTGTGGAATCAAGCTGTAAATAAAAAAAAAAGAGAAAGCCATATACAATAATATACATATTGATGGAGGTTTTCGATAGGCCAAGTTTTGAGCAAGTGTGTTACCCCTTTCTAGATAGTCATTGTCAGTATTTGTCGCTCATTTCAAAAATGTTGTTTCTGTGTGTGCGTGCGTGCATCTGTTGCTGTTGTCATTGTCAGACAATGAATGTTATATCCTTCTATATGTCATTTTATTCGTTCAATCTTGATTTCTTTTTATTCCATCTGATTTCTTCTAAATGTAAGTATAATGTTATTAACTGTTATATTGTTATCCGTTATATTGGTGTTTTATTTTCACTCCTTATCTCTCTCTCTCTGTCTGTCTCTCTGTGGTCTATTCATCATCATCATCAGTTCAAAGTGTATACATCATTTGCACAGGTATAATTCATTGCTGTTTTTTCTTTTTTTTGAATGAAATCTCTTGATCAGATTTTCTGGGGGGTTGGGTGGGGAGTCAGATTGTATTTTATTTGTCTAATTTTAGTAGATTGATTTGTTTTAAAGATTCAGTGAGTGAGGGGATGACAGAAATTGAAATTAGTGTACACCTGATAAAATACGACAGAAGACAAGGGCCACGCAGCAGATCATCATTATTGAGAAAATCAACAAATATTCATAGATTTTTATGTCTCTTATTATTCGTTATTGTTAGCAGAGAAGCAACGTCTTCTGATTGGTTGTTCTCCTGTTGAAGGTTATTCTGTCATCTCTTTTTGGCCATTTCTTAGACAGTCAGTCCGGTGATGTATCTGCGAATCGTATTTGCACACATTAAGTCTTTTGTGACTGGTTGTTGAGTTCCTCAGGGTTAACCCCGATTCGAGAGGTAAATTCATTGACGTAAATTCAAGTGTTGGTTTCCAAGGTTTTGATTGATTACAGGATTTTCATCATAAGCTGATATTGGTTAGAAAGAGAACCATTGGAAAACCACCTGGGAGTACTTGACAACTGGCTGTTTCACATGTCCTAGTTTGGGACTCTTCCACAGTAGTACGCACCCACCGCCAGCGTGGTTCGAATCCAGAACCTTCTGATTACAATTGTTGTCTACAATTTTGACTTGCAGACAACTCTCACCACATACATTATACAGGGTTTTTCTCTCTCTCTCGTACTCATGCACGCACCGCTATACACTCTTAAATGTACAATATACACTAAAATATTTATATAATCTCACACTGCTTACAATTGATTTGTTTATTTTTTGTTTTTTGTTCCTCATATGTGTGTGAGTGTGTGTATTCACACTCAAAACTCCACTAGTGGTGGTGGTGTGTTGATGTTGTTGTTGTGTTTTTCTTTCTTCTTTTTGTTCTGTTTTCACAAATCACCAATCCATTTTTTCTCATAACTGTTGCACAATGAATATATTTTCTATATTGCCCCCTTATTTTATTCTAATTGTAGTTTTAACATGGAATATTTTATATACCCATGGTATTCAGGGTGTTTTGTTTTGGTTGTTTTTTTTGTAGATAAGGCTAAGTTGATGGATAGGCTTTAACACTTTTGTTAACGCTTACATAATATACAGCTTAACTAATATATTTTCTTCTTTTTTTTGGTTATTGAATACTTCTGGTTCAATGTTCACTTATTGATTTAACCTAATCACTGTTAACCCATTCTTGTATGCTTGTTGTTGTTGTTTTTTTTCGTTTGTAGAAAAGACAGGAATGGAACTACCTTCAGTCGACCGAACAAATACTCGAACAGTAATCATGACTTCCGATGTGCATAGGCATAAAGCATCAACTATAACAACTGTTGTGCCCACATCACAATCATTGCCGCCAATCCCACAATCATTAACTATGTCTACATCGGTTAGAGACAATAGTAATATTAATAATAATAAAACTATCTCCTCATCTGTATTTGAATCAGATAATAATAATAATTATTGTTATTCTTATGGACAGAATAAAGGCGGAAAATTATGGAAACCACGTCGGTTACACTTTGTTCTACGTCTTCCTATAATTGGTTCTGATCCTCATATTTTATTAATACAAATGATAGAATTATTTAAACGTTATCAATGCGCTTATACTTTTCTTAGTTCCTATCGTTTACGTTGTACAAAATTAATAAATTCATATAATCCTAATGATAACTGTAATACTACTACTACTACTGATAATGATAATAATACTACTCATAATGAAAGTGTTGATGAACAGGGCATACAACAGCAACAACAGTCTCAATGTAGTAAATCTCCACAGTCATCATCCAGTGTACTTAACTGGGATTTAGAGATATTTCAATTAGCTAAACCAATTGTTTATGGTGTACGCTTTAAACGCATTTCAGGCAATCGTAATGCATTCAAATCAATGGTAAAGTATTTTGTTCATCAAACTGAAAATATAACCTGATGTATTCTCCATCCTCGTCATCTTCATCCTCATCATCGTTGTCGTCGTCGTCGTTATCATCCTCATCATCAGCATATCTTGTTTACAATTCAAGATACAATCACAACTATTGTATGTTGTGTTTATAAATAGTGTTTGCTTGGTTGTCTCCTTGTTTGTTTGTTTGTATGTATGCGTGAGTGTAGAGGTGTGTGTGTGTATGCACGTACGTATGTACCCACCCAAATACAATCAAGTGTAGAGCTGACATACATTCACACATACATACATACGTACATGCACACACGCTGTTCTCTTTGAAGATGGAATTCTTGATTTCAGCATCTTAATTGGTGTTTTCTTTCTCCGCTTAAATTATGATCTCATTTCATTTGTAGTAATTATGGCGAATAAGACATGCCCTCTCTCTCTCTCTTTCGCCCTCGTTCATTGTATTCAATCATTATAGATGCTAATAGTGTTTATACACATATACACATATATATACACTCTTTTCTTTTATGAGACTTTCAAATGCTTTTTTACACCGTTCCTTTGTTTAAAAATAGATTTTTGATGATATCACGAATTAATATTATTTCTTTGTTTGTTTTTTTCTTGCTATGCGTGTTGAATCACCACTCACCATTACGTCATATATATATATATATATATTTGTATAATATTGTTTGTATTTATTGTAAGTTTGTTTTCTGATCTCCACTGCTCCCCACACCGTCTCCCGCACTCACCCACCCACCTTGTCGTCAGTCAACCCACTGTGTACTCCTAACCTACAACAAGTCATATTGTTTGGTGTAAAAATTGTACTCCTGTCCGTTGTCTTTCCGTTGGGCTTTTTTTCTTTTGCTCGCGTCTTCTTTTATCATATATCCATTATACTTTTATGAATCACAGGCCTCTGTATTGTATGGATCTCATGTTTCTCTTCATTCTCATCACCCCGGTCGTTTCTTTACTCCTCTACTCTCCTCTTCTCTACCTTATTTTGATATGTGTTCCTTCTTTTCTTTAGTAAACAAAACCCCAGCAAATTTCATGTCCGTGATTTATATATATGTGTGTGCGTGCGTGCGCGCGCGTTTGTTTGTTCCTACAGAAGTCGTCATACAACATAGCAGTTGTTTGTTTGTTTTTCTGAACTATAACGAAGTGCGTATTACTTACTCTCTATAAGTACACTTGTACGACATATTTGTCTTCCCCGCTTATCTTTTGCCACCATTTTATCAAACTGAATAATTTAAACAATCATTGGTCTTAACTTACTTGGTTATTATTATTATTATTAATTGAAAGTTAGGATTGTAATTTGTAACATAATTATTACTTGCACAAATTTTAACATATATTAATCGATTCCTACTACTTTTATTCATCTCAAATTTTGTCTGCTTAAATTAATAATATTCTATGAATGTTTATTTTTTAATGAAATTTCTTAGACTGTTAGAATTAATTATTAGTTCTTCCTGCTATCAATGTTATAATGTGTTGTATGCATCTGTCTGTCTCTCTATCTGACTGTTTATCTGCCTGTCTGTCTGTTTATCTATCGATGTATGCTTTGTCTTTTTTTGTGTGTGTCTTCACTTGAATTGTCTTCGTTTCTTCCAATTTTTTTCTTCTTTTTTTTCGCCTTGTCGTCTATAGGTACTTGTGATTATTGAAATTGCTCATATACTGTTATTGTTATTATTATTATTATTACGCAATCGGTATTTTATTGTTTTGCATCGACTTACTTACGCAATTACCAACACTATCTGACTCGTACAACTATACACATACATACATACATGCAAATTTGTGTCTAAACTTATGTGATTGTGTGATGTGTGATATGCTTTGTTTACGAGTTAATTAATGCTGTTATGTTTTGTTGGTTATCGTATATACATATGTATATGTATGTGGTGGTATTAGATTTATGCCTACGCTTTACCTCGTCTGTTAACTCATCCTATGAGAGAGTTTGTGATTGCTTCTGTGTATTTATATATTATAATTGATGTTAGGTGCAAAAACATACACCCATCCACCCACACACACACACACACACATGCATACATTTATGAATTTGTTAGCTAACAACATCCTTCAAGTATCTTTTTAATAATTTTAATAATAATAATAATAATAATAATATAGAATTCCTTATTATTATTATTGTTTCACATTTCTGATTATCATCAACTTTTAAAATAAAGTGATATAAGAAAAAATAATAATGCATTTTTCAAAATAAAAACTGGAAATATAATAGATTATGTTTGTGTCATTGATGGGGCGCGCGAGGGGGGAGCTGACTAGCTTAACGCTTTTCCATATTAGTTTGTTTATTGGATGTATTATCGCACAGTTTGTGAAATAGTATTATGACATACTGGATGACAAGGTTTCGAACAAAATTTATTTATTGTTCATAATCAGATCATCGATTATAATCAGATACACTTAGACTTTCGATCATCCCATCTCCTATGTCAGTGAAAATAGGATTGGTGAAATGTTTAAGTGACAATAGAGCACAAAAACTAAGTAGTACCAAGGAAAACGTAAGACAGGAAGTGAGACATGTAAGAGAAGCTTTAAAACTTAATAATTACCCTGATAAATTAGTCAGAAAGTATGTAGGGAAATGTAAAAAGAAAATAAATAATGATAGTAGGGGTAGTGATAATAATAATAGTAGTAGTAGTATTGTGGTGAGAGCAGGCCGTGAGAAAATATGTACAAGGCTGATTTAACAACCAATCAAAGCAAAGTTAACGTGGCAAAATATGATTCGCAGATAGAGAACTCTATTTGTCGAGGAATCCCTAAACAACCAATCCGAAGCCTGCGTTTGTCTGCCTAACTTCTGTTAAACCACCAATCAGATGACTGCGCTTGTCTACTTGCATAAGCTGTAATAATGTATGTGAAATATATATAAATACGTGTTGATTTTCATAATAAAACGATCTGTTGCCTGGCCCTTGTCTTCTGTTGTTACAGTATTAATGATAACACGCATATCAAACATGCGTAAGATAATGACAACATCGACAATAAGGAATCTAGGTGATCAGTAATAATTCTATACAAGGATAGAACTTCAGAAGCCTTACGCAGAATTCTTAACAAGGAAGGAATAAAGGTGGCTGGCATTCAAGCCACCCACAAACTCAATCAGAAACAAGCTTTGTTGGTTAAAGGATCAATCCTGTGGAGCCTTTAAAACAAAACAATTTAGTTTATCTAATACCGTGGCTGCAATGATTGTCAGGTGAAATACACAGGTCAAACCAGTAGAACAGGAGCAGTCAGACTAGCTGAACATAAAAACCTAGCAGCAAAATCTAGATTGATTGACCCGAATAAGATAAGAAATCTAGAGAATAGTTCAGCCATAGCATTACATGCAGTTGCACACAACCATACAATAGGATGAATGGGATAGGATGACAGTTTTAAAATCTAATGTCACAGGGTAGAGGGAGAGATTGATAACAGGAGCTTTGTTTATCGAATCAACTGCAAATACATGTACTAAGAATAATTCAACATCTGTTCATCCAGATATCTGGAAAATTCTACTACCCTAATGACGACAAATAGGAGAGGAGAAAGAAAACTATAAAACCCAAGTTTCGAAGTCATGTGATTATAATCGATGATATGATTATGAATCCCAATACATTTTGTTCGAAAAGTCATCGACTAAATAATACTGTTTCACTATGTGATACATCTAATAAACAAACTAATATGGAATTACTTACTGCCACAGTGCCCAAGTTGTACACATATATTAATAGCTTAACGTTAACTGACTTCATCGACTTAAGGGATTGACTTGCCACCAGGGGGTGATAATAGTCCTCCTAGATGAAGATGCTGAACACTTTGAACAGCTGTCTTTAAATGTTTGGCATGCGATTCGATTCTACTGTAAAATGTAAGATGATGAGGCTACAGGATTAGTCTGCATCAAGTCTGTAGTTTAAAGAGAAGGATTGAAGTAATGGAGTGTGTTGATCAATTCACTTATTTTGTGAGAAGTTCCATGATCCAGTCCGAACGCGCTGATCGCTGACGAAATCTGAGCAGGGATACAGAAGGCTCATGTGGCATTTGACAACTTAAATCATTTCTGGCGTAAATGTGATATCCAGTTGCTTGTCGATCAAACAAAGTACGTGTGTATATAATTCCCAGCAGTCCTATCTATCCTCCTTTATGGCTGGCTGTCAGTGAGATATGGTTATTGGAAATGGAAGACATGAAAAGATTGGTTAGCCGTCTTTGTTCATAGATGCCTGCATTCTATCACCCGTGTCAGTTGGTGCTATAATAAGGTGAGTAATATTGAAGTTAGCTTTCAGTCGAATGTTAGGTAAGTAGGGGGAAATCAATCGATGAGGTTGTGAAGCAGCTGCATAGATTGAGTAAGATGGTTAGGACATATGTTACGCATGCATGTCTAGCCATTGATAGCCTACCTCAACGACGGGCAATGTTAGCTAGCTAACATAGGATCGATAAGGTTGGAAAAGAGTTTCTAGCGGTGGTCAAATAAAAGCATGGCTTTATCACTCAATGATATCCATTAGAGTTGGTGTAAACTAGCCACGTGTAGAGGTGTAGACTTCCTGATTGGCTGGATGCTTTTGGTCTTCCGGATGGTAAGAACCAATGGTGGTTGGAGAAAGACAATTGGTGATATGGTTGAAAATCCTTGTATTCGATGAATAGCGTAGATGTACTCATCAGTCTTTGTGATTAATTCATCATATCCAGTAAAACTCTATTGTTCTTTCATGTTAGCATTTCTGTTTACTCTATTCTCCTGGTTTGTGCGGTACAAGGAGGGAGTTGAACTGCTGTACATCTGTGCAAAATAATCCTATGTTAAAACCATTCAGTTAGAGAGTGAGCAAATATTCAGATATAACCAATTACGATCAAGGTTTCTAGGAGTAAAGATAGCTGATAAACTCGCAGTGATTTCCGAAAGTACATTTCAAGTTGAAATATGCATTGAAAATGTTGTCTAGACAAATAGTGAAACCTTCCCAACTAAGCCACCCAGTTCAGTGAATACCGTGAACTACGCCGATATAATTGGTGTTACTTAGGTATGAAACTACTCCAAATTTTCGCATTTGTGGAACAGTTTAAGATTGAAATATTAGCTATAAGGTGTTAAACTATTCAATATCGCTTGGGAAATAAACGAATTTGCATTCTAAGAATTTCTATATCCTGACAACTTGAAATAGATTCTTTGCTTAATACTTACTCTTGCTATACTAGAGCGCCGATGATTTAGCGATTAACGCCCGCAAACCAGCATGGGGTCGGGCTTCCAATCCATGACAGACTTACTCCTAGACATTTATTAAACACAAAATAATTGAGGAAAGAATATACTTTTCGATAAATTCCTCTTCTTCTGGCTCTATAATTATATATATGTTTATATACATAGAATATTCTAGAATAGTAGTCAATAGCAGTATTAGTGTCTCTTAAATACTGTCAATTTGTAAATTAAGATCAGTGGAACTAAAGTTCATTAAAGATGATTAAATTATAATAGTAATAAAGATATAGTAGGGAATAGAATATCAACTAAAATTAAGAAAATTCCACAAAAATTCAGGATC